AATCCCCTTCCTTATGTTTAATTATTTAATTAAACATAATGCTTAATTACCAAAATTATTTCGAACGTAAACGGTACGTCGAAAATAAATTTCGATAATCTCGACTGAACATAATTAATTCCGAAAATAATAAACGTTAACCTTATTATATCGAAATTAAAACATAATTTATACTAATAAAATGTTGGGATATTACAAGTACCACTCATACCATTATTATTATGTCGGAATAAATTCACTGGCTAGATTTAACATAATAATCCTTCATGAGCTCATCTCGGGGACATCATCAAACTATCGCACATGGTGACCGTAAATATTCTAACAGCACATCCACTACAAGAAATCTGTCAATCAGTGACGAAAATTCTTGTGACGAAAAAACAATCGTCACCGTATGTTGCCTTATGGTGACGAATTTAATAAATTGTCATTACAGCAGTGCATACGGCGACGACTCCTATATTCTTCATATTAGAATTATTTTTTCGTCACATAATGGAATTTTTCATCACAATGCACCTCAATTCGTCACTTATACATATAAATTCGTCACATTTATATAAAATGTGACGAAATTAAATGTGACAAACAAATTGTCGTCACTGTTGTTGTTATTTAAAATGACGCTTGCGACTAATTTGTCATTATATAATTATTTATTGTGACGATGCAATATAGTACAGCTAAATTCGTCACATTAATACGTATTGTGACGAATTCACTACGACGAAACAAATTCGTTGTTTTTTTTCGTATTTGAAATGACGCTTACAAAAAATTCGTCATTATATAATTTTTTTGTGACGATAAACTATAAAACAACTAAATTCCTCATATCAATACATATTATGACGAAAGTCACTGTGGCAAATCAAAATCGTTTTTTTTTTTTTGTGTTTAAAATGACGCATACGTATAATTCGTCATCATACAACTTTCTTTTGTGACGATATGGTATAATGCATCTATATTCGTTACAATATTACATATCGTGACGAAATTAACTATGACGATAAAATTAGCGATTCTTATTTATAAAAATATGAATAAAAATTAGTGTTCTTATTATCCTCTAAATAAATATTAAGTTGTATAGTTTTTCACAATCTTCATTTTGCTCTCATCCTTTTGGAAAATTAATTATTGTTTCTAATATCATTTATAATGATTACATTTTTTTTTAATTTCAGTTGGAAGTTAATCAGATTTTTTTTTATAATTCTTTTCCCTTTCTATAAATTTTAAATTGAGTTAATTAAAAAAATTGATGAGATTATTCATCTTGAGTACTTTTATTGACGACATATATAAAAATCACAATTCATTCAAAATTTGTTAGATATAACTGATTCTCTTAATTTTTTTTTCTCATTTTTTCTTTATTTTCCATGGAGTAGGGACATTTTTATATTTAAAACCTCTATCAAATTGCAAGAGCATTTTTTTTTATATATATAAAACCTAAACTCCACATAATAAATCTAACTTAGCTGTTTTCCTAAACACGTTTCTTCTTAATAAATAAATGATTATTTTTGTAGTTTTTTATTTGTTTTATTCCTTATAAAATATTTTTTTGTAAAAAAAATGTTAAGATTAATTTTATTTGGACCAATAATACCAATAATGAATGAATAATTGTTTTTTCATTAGTCCTTCTCACTTCTCCCTTCTAAGCTGATAGCAGTGTGATAGAAAGTGATTATTTCAAACAAGAACCTAACTAATGAGGTGAACCCAAAAAATGTGATCTGAGAAATTTTCAATATCTCACACATTAGAAGTAAAACCACAAAAAGCCCGTCACAACAAGATTGAAGATCATAAAGTTACTCAAATTAACCTTACACAGATAGATCAACATCAATTCACAATCCGCACTAAAATTACTCCAAAAAAAAAAAAAAATCCTTACAAAAATCGATCACATCATCTACCAAACCCCGTTTTTGCTCTCCCTGTCCTCGTTGTGCATCATGTTGAGAAAGTTGCTGACGTGGACCCAGACGTTTTTCCCATCGGGCCGGGAGCTGGCATGGAGAGAAGGAACGTGTGGGCCGGGTGGCCTGAGACAGTCATGAGCTGCCAGCAAAAGGCCATGTCGAAGAAGTTTGGGCCTCCGTGCAGCAGCTGAGGAGAAGAGTGTAGGTCTGAAGAGACGGGCTCAGGCCCAGCCCAGTCATGCTCTGGAGCAAATTGTACGCATCTCGATGCCTATGGTCTCTAACAAAGGCGCTCAGTAGAGAATTACATGTGGGCACGTTGGGCCTTAGGCCCGATACCACTCCCAGGCCTTCTCCACATTACCCAATTTTCCCCACAGATCGACGAGAAGCCCGTAAACGGGCTCGTCCGGAAACCAATTCTTCTGCTTCATCTCGGCAAAAACAGCCTCGGCCTCATCGAGGTAGTCACAGTGCCCGAGCACCTCCATGACTGTATTGTACATGACTTTATCGGGCTCGAATCCCGCGCTCTGCATCTCAAGGTATAACTGAAGAGAGCTCTGGAAGTTTCGAGCTTTCGCATGCAAAGCAATCATTATATTATAGGCAAAATTGCATATAAAAGCACCACCTTTTATGTTTTTGCAATTTAATCACCACCTTTGTAATTTAGCAATTTAATACACAACTTTACTTATTTCTTGCAATTCGAATCACAGGGCCCAATTTCGGGCCTGTTCTGGTGACGTGGCATTTTGTGGTGACGTGGCGTTTCCACGTGTCAATGACGGGGCATCTTTGGGCTGACGTGGCAGTCTATGTCAATTAAGAAAAAAAATATATATATTTTGTAGAAAGGGGGGTTTGAACCCTGGTCTCCATGGAAGAAAAGTAACTATGCTACCAACTCACCTATCCATGTTAGTTAACATATTCATTAACAATTTATATATATAGAAATTACGTATGAATAAATTATATTAAAATATAAAATTAATTATAATAAATTAATTATAATAAATTAATTATAATAAATTAATTAAATATAAAATTATAATAAACTAGATTAAATTAGATGAAAATAAAATAAATGAAGATAATTAAAATATAGAATTTTATTAATTCATATTTTGTGTTAGAGTAAACCATATTAATAATATTTAATAAATAAGATTTTCATTATTTATTATTTAATAATCAGTTATTTTGTTTATTATATTATTTTATTTTATTTGAATTCACCTTTTTTATACTTTATCATCTTATGTTATATTATTTTTATTATATTTTAATAAATATAACTTATTATGAAATAATAAATAAAAATAAATAAAAATCTTAAATAAATATAATAAATTAAAAATATAATTTAAGTAAATAAAATGTTAAATAATCGTAATGAATAATAAAACAAAGAGTGTTATTTTATATAAAATAATAAAATATTAAAAAACTTAAATGAAATAATAATTTATTATATAATAATAAGTTATTATATTTATTATAAATTTATTTTAAATAAATAAATAAAAATATTAAATGAATATAATATTATTAATATGATTCACTCTAACACAAAATATGAATTCGAAAAAATATATTTTAATTATCTTAATATATTATTTTTAATTCAATTTTATATAATTTTATTTAATATAATTAAATTATTTTTTTAGATTTAATTTGATTTCTCCATACGTAATGTAATGTGTATATATATAAAGGGTTATCACATTTAACAACTAAGTTGGACTAGTGTGGTGGTAGCTAAGGCTACCCTTCAACCCCTTCAACCCAGGATCGAATCTCAGAGCGTGCAACATAATTTTTTTTTTAATGACACATGGGTCGCCATGTCAGCCCAAAAATGCCACGTCATTGACACGTGGAAACACCACGTCATCACAAAAATGCCATATCAGCAGAACGGGCCTCCACGTCACCAGAACAGGCCCAAAATTGGGCCCTGTGATTCGAATTGTAAAAAATAACTAAAGTGGTGTATTAAATTGCTAAATTGCAAAGGTGGTGATTAAATTGCAAAAACATGAAAGGTGGTGCTTTTATATGCAATTTAGCCTATATTATATGTTATGAGATTTGGCACGCAACCTTGATCGACCATTTCGCAGAACAGCTTATGGGCTGCCGCCAGGTGTCCCGCTTTCCCAAGGCAGTTTATGATGACGCTGTAAGTGAGTATCGGGCGAAAGATCGACTTCTTGCATTCTATGATATAAATCAATTTCTACATAGAGATAGCCTTTTCGCGTGGATATCGATGAGCGTACAGTAAGTTCACTCCCTTGTCGGTAAAATTTTATTGGACTGGAAACACTCGCAGCCCTCACCCTGAATTTTCGTGCCAGCATAGAAATATTACACAACATCAAAAGACAAGCCACATATAAATCACACGATAACACATAAAAATATAGGAATAGATATTTGAATGATCAATCATTAATCTCACCATTCACAACCATACCAGTCAATGTAGTCATCACTATCAGAAGTGATGCTTTTTTCAGAATCTTCTACACTACTACAATAGTCAACCAAGGTGTCATCGGAATCATCTTCTTCAATGACATCATCTATGTTTACGACTCCATGATGGTAAGACATTTGATTGAGGCCTTTTCGGTCGAGACACTAGAAGTGGATTTAGCCCAGGTGGAGAAATAGCAGGTTCTATTTTCTAGGATGAAACTTTCTAAAGGTAGAGGAATTGTTGAAGTTTCATCCCGTCGCACCTTATATGACAAACTATAGGAAGTATGTTAATATAATTATTTCTAAGGGAGAGTGATAGACAACCTTATAAGAGTTAAAGGTGGTACCTTGAAGCATCTCCATTTTGACTCTGGCCACCTATTGAAATACGTGTCTTCAATTCCGACAATAGTTCCAGTTTCACTACAGAATCAACATGTCATTAAATTAACAATATAATTATGCTAGGTATTTACTAATCCACAGAACGTCAATATTCAAGTTTATGAGATACTCTCTAACTGTGTTCTGGAGCTGCTTCTCCTTCGCACCTCATTTCTCATTCCTATTGAATGGTTGTTTTTAACAGACTCCATGTACTGATCATAGGGGACTATAAAGTGAGCAGGTCCTGCAACATACAGACAAACAAGATTATTAACAAGCAACTTATTCTGTTATAACACTAAGACCATATTAAAAGCCAAAACTGCCGTTACACAAAAAACAAAGATTGGCAAGAGTATCATATTTTGAAAAATGCCAAACCATCAATAAAGTATCAGCTTAATTGTAGTTCACTGTTTAACTGATGTAGCAACTAATCATATCCAGGGTTATATTTGAGCTGCAAAAGATTCTTCTCTGTAATTTCAATATAGTTGTTTCTTAAAGCACTTTGCACTGTGAACATGAATGTTGCACTGTGAACATAAAATGTTGAAACGGGTAATACACCAGCAATTGTTTCACTTCCTAAGAAGGTTGATTGAAATCTATCTCCCTCCTCATCATTAAAAGCAATAATCTGAAAACATTTATGGCCAAAATAATCAAGACGTGGCAGTAAATTCAATTTTAACAGTACCAGCCACCCTTTTTTTCCCTACCTTGTCAGTCAAATTTTATTGGTCCTAGCGCAGGGTCAAACAAAAATCTCAATGTGTAGTTAAGAACACTTTCATAAAAAATGCAACTAACATGGAGTTATTGTAAATTTTATTACCTCCACTGGTCGCCTAAGTTTCCCAAACGTTCTTCTCGTATGCAATACTTTAAAGGAAGACAATGCAATAATAATTCCAAGTTCTCCAACAACAGGTTCTGTAAGTGGCTACGCTCAGTAATGCCTACAAGATCATAAATTTATCATGTCATAGTTCACACACATACTTGTCCAGTTGTCATTCACTTGTCATTGCAATAGTTATTTATGTCTAGGTTTGCCTCATCCAAACTTCCAGCCAAAAAGTTGGGATCGTATTTCTGGAAAACTCAATGAAGACAAGTTGGGATCGTATTTCAAGGAACCAGTTGAATAAAGGTTTGGTTGTGAAGAAAGAGAATAAACCTGCCTACCATAAGTCTAAACTATGATCTTCATGTGTTTCTTCACTATGAATCCATGAATATATCATCAAAAAAAGAGAGTACCTTTGCTTCAAGGAGAGAGATACAGAGACGAATCTGTAAGAGGCTATGTCGCTAGGTCTCCGTGGAAAATAAGATAGCAACTCGACCTGATGCTCGAAAAATTGTAAGACTGAGAGTGCAAATTGAGTGCAAATCCTGTGTGAATTATGAGTGCGAATTATGTGTGAGTGCGAAGGAATTCTGTGTGAGGATTTTCAGTTGAATCTTTGGATTTTCATAAAGAGATTTTGAAGAAGATAGATTTTCGATTTTGAGTTACGGAATTTCAATTGAGAGTTAGAATTTCAATTCGATTTTGTTTCTTTGTACTATTACCATTTTATGGTTGTTTTTATGAGATGTTTTTATGCCGTTGGAAAAAAAAGTTAGAATTTAAAGTGAGTTAAAAGGATTTTTAATTAACTTTTATTTTTCCAAACAATAAATTCATTAACTAAACTCAATTTTACACAAATTGAAAACCAACGGGTTACTAATGATTCAGACATGCCTCAATCGGAAACTAATCGGGGATACTCATAAAGAGTTAGGGAAGTTATCAAAAAAAGAGTTAGGAAATTTTAATTAACACTTAGAGATTTTTGAGAATGTCAAAAATGAGTTAGGGACGTTATCGATTCGAATCGAGCCGAGACTAAGGTTTCCGAGCTCGAGTTTGACTAAATTTTTTTTAACATGTTCACTAAATTTTCAACCAAAAATTTCCGTTCGTGTTTGGTCGTTTCTAGGTTCGACAAGTTCGCGTTCATACTGCACAATAGCAACTGAAACCCTACACAATAGTGTTACACGAATTGCATATTAATGACTGTTAAACTACATATAAGTGACAAAAAAAGGCTGAACCAAAATGTTTGGTTCGAAATTTTAGATTTCAGTTCGATTATTTTCTTTTAGTTTTAAAATTTAGGGTATTTCGGGCAAATACATATATATATATATATTAGAAAATATTAAAATATCAAATCTCAACATCAACGGTAAAAAATATTGTGGATTTTTAATTTTTTTGAAAATTTAATATGTATATCTATACACATCTATATCTATATTTATATAATGGATCAATCCATTTTTCCAAAATTGGCTAACTCTTCCCGCCTACAATTCTCGGTTAAATTTTGAAATATTTTTTTTAAGTCATTTTATATTTATTTGGTAAGTCATTGTGTATTCACACATAATATATTGATTTTTCTTGACATATTCATGCTTCATATATTGGTAGGATCAAGAAAGCATATATCTTTAGAAACTCAAGATTAATCTTTATTTGGTAATATTGACATATTCACGCATTATATTCAGTGCATTTTTCATAATCCCGAGGTGCGTTTATTGTCCAATATTAGTTTATATAATGTGTTATTCAAATATTTAATAATGTCTTTAATTATTGTGCATTTCTATGATATATGTGTTAATCTTATCAAATCTCCTCGAGAAG